AAAAAAAAAATCGCACCGAATCATGATGGAGTAACTCAGTCGCATGGACATAAATTAACAGTGATTTTTTTTTTTTAATTATAGGTCTATCCCCCTTTTAATCCTCTTATTTATAGATTTTAAGCTTATTATCTTCATTTAAAAATTTAAGAGTTTTGGTCTTTTAATAATATAATTCGGTGAATTATTATTTTTTAAACAAATTTAAAATACACATTATTAATTAAACATTATTTCTTTCTTGCTTAAATGACATATTAACATCTCTTATGACAAGACCTTAAAATTTTATTTTGACCTTTTCTCTCCTTTTTTTTTTTTTTTCATTTAGTGTAAGAGTGGATCCACGTTATATTGAGGGTGAATTTTTCTCCTTTTTTATTTTGTATAAATTAAGACAATAATATAATTAATACACATTTAAAGTTACATATTAAAATTATTTTTAATTTAAATTTTGTTTGAAAGTATTGGGTTATGCTATGATTTTGAATTTTTTTTTTTGCTTTTTTAATTAAAATATATAAAAATTAACTAAAATTAATTATTTACAATAAATTAACATTGGATTTTTTTATTATGTATTTTTTAGGTATAAGATAAATATGTGTTTATTATATTTTTTATCATTAATATATATAATAAAATTAAAAATTAACATTAATTTTATCAATTATTTAATAAAAAATACCTATATGTTATAAATATTAAAATTAATGTTATTTTTTTCATATTTTCATATAAATTAATTTAATTAATACATAAGAAATATATTTAAAACTCACTTAACATATATTTTTATACCCTTTTTGCTTGGTCAAATATAATTATACAGGGTTTTGTTTCGGTTGCAGCCTTTTCTCGTCGTCTTCTTCCTCATCCAACCTCTTCGAATTTGCAACCATGACAGTAACTTTTTCTTAAATCTGTTACCAATTGAAGCTCGAAGAAGAAAGATGCCGTTGATGCTGATCAGATCGGTGGCTAAACCACCAGAGCCATCGAAACACCATGAAGAAACCTCCATCAAATTCGGGACTTCGGAAGCTCTGGCCCACGTCTGATCCCTGCATGAGTGTATTGCATACCAGCGTGCTCTCGACCTGGATCTCGACAGCCTGTTCTTGCAGCATATGAACCTTGATAAGCACCTCTTTCACCTTCAGAAATCCGCCGAGGTACTTGACATTGTCAAGGCCGACTCGGATCACATGTTGTCAAATGTGCACTCCACGTGTGACCTTGCCGACCAGGTTAGCAGAAAGCTCTGATCCGCGTTAACTCTATGCTTCTCCATGTCGATGCCATCTTCTATCTCTCTCTTCCCTCCTTCCTAATGGCGCCTTCTGTTTTCTACACCATCTTTTCCAGATCTTCCATCTCCCTTGCTCCTGTTCATCCTTGACCACTGCTTGCTCCCATGGTATCCCTTCCATTTTCCCCTTTAACTGTCCAACATATGGGTTACTTTAGATCTAGTTAGTTTTTAAGTCTGGGATTTAGGAGAAAAGACAAACATGAACTCTACCCTTAAAGCCAGTTTTATATGTTCCAATTTGAAAAAAAGTTTCTCAATTTCTCTAATTATCCCAAGCATTAGAAAATTTTCGTATGGTTTTTGTTTTTTTGTTTTTTTGAAAATCTTTAGATGATTAAATACACGAAAATTGCAAATTTATTGGTTCCAAAATTGAATCAATATCTGGGCATTTTCTAGCATTGATTGATTTGAACAAAAGTCAAGAATAAAAAACATAATCTTGTGCAGGAGAGAGTAGAGATTTGGGGAAGAAGATGGAGCAGAGAGAGATGAAATGAGAGGAGGAAAGAGAAATTTTGTGCCGGAGAAATTCTTCGTTAGCTTATGTGTCTTTTTGGATGATGAAATGTCATCTTTAGCTGAGTTGTAATAATATTACTGAACGGGGATACCACTTTCTTGTCAAAAAGAAGTTGCCAGTAGCTATGGACCAGAGGGATTTGACTAAACAAAAAAGGGCATAAAAATAAATTAAAAACATTGATCATAAGGAATCCAGCAAAGCGTCCAACAATGCATATATCTCAGCAAAAATAAAGCCAGATCAGATGCAAAATAGGGGCTAATGAGCGAAACGTTAAAACTTAACTGATGGATGCTGTCAGGCTACACAGAGGGGGTGGTTGGTTTGCCACTGAACATGAGTTGAGGGGTACTTTTGCGCGTGAATTAACTTGAGGGGTTGATCTGTTATCGAACGACGAGTTGAGGGGCTAATCTGCATGTTTTGCCTTAGATAAATCCCAGCACTTCCCTCTTCCTCTTGTTCTTCGTCGCTAACGAAAATCACAGAAACAAGAATCCAAGAATCATGGAGCAAGAGCCGATTGCCGCCGAATTGCCCAACCACCAGCAACCTCTTCAAGAGTTGCCCTTCGCCGTCTCCCTCCTTCGCCTTGACGGAGGCAAATCCACCGCCATTGGCGACGACAACCAACCTCCCAACTCCTCCTGCCGCTGCGAATGCAATTGCTCTTCCATGAAACGCCCCTCCCGTGAACCCTCCACCGAACGCCACACCAAGAAACCCAACTACTGCGATTTCTCGGTTCTTCCGCTTCCCCCAATATCTTTACCTACTCTTCGCCGCGGCGGTTCTGGCCCCTACACCGTTCCAAGACCATCCACATCCCAGACAAGGGATTCCTTGGTGGCGCAATCCCCACCAGAGGATGCCAAGATTGTAGCTGATTCTCCGATGTCGAAAGGAGGTTAATTTTCTCTGCCACCGAAGCCGCCAGTCTCGAGGCGGTCGATAGCGGAGCTTACTCCCTCGCCGGACAAGACCTCCTCCAGGTCTTCCGGCTCGAACGAGATCATCAGGGAGGAGAGTACCCGTAGACAGGTCTGTTTTTGACTTTCAGTTTGAGGGTTTAAACAGTTCTTGCAACGGTATTCATGGGTTTCTTTCTCTTGTTTTGATTTTGATTTATGCTGATTTTGGGCTTTGAAGAATTATGGGTTTCTTCTACTTAATGTAAATTTGCAGTCTTTTCTTTTGCATTTTCTGTTTTGATTAAGAAATCTTGAAATTGTTAGTTGATGGCAGAGGTGGCAGAGGATGAAGGATAGGCTCAAGGAGATGACTGAGTGGCTGGAAGAAATGCGGGAAGGTGAGGGAATGAAAGTCACTGAAGATCCAACCAAGGTTTGATTTTGTTTAACAAACATTATCATTACTATTCTCTGTTTGGCTACCGAGAAAGTTGTGTCAAGGAAAATGTAACTGGTTTGCAGGATGAGAATGAAGAAGAAGAAGAAGAAGAAGAAGAAGAAGAAGAAGAAGCTGTGTGGGTGGAGAGAAAAGGGAAACGTTTGGTGATTCATTTCAAGTGTCCCTGTGGCAAAGGCTATCAGATTCTTCTCTCTGGAGGCATGTGCTATTACAAACTCACGTAGATTCATTCATCATCATCTGCGACTGATTTTCCTTTCTCCTCTGATATGTACATATTACAATTAGATGGATTTTTTCATTAGTCCTGGACATATTTTTCCTTTCTCATTCCTTTGATTTGTGTCCTCTTGGCACATGATGTCTGTAATTGAAGAGGGGTTTACAAATTACATAAATTTGTTCATTAGGAAGAGGAAGACAGATTGTTGGGTCATCATCCTTTTGCAGAGACATCTCGTTGACTGATTTTGCTTTCACCTCTGATTTGATTTGTACCATCGATTGACCTATTTTCCAAAAATGAATGTAAGCCCATGGGCCTCAAAAAAATCATTGGGTTCTAAAAAGCCTTCTAAACCCATACACACTCTAACAAAGTAACAATAGGTTGGATTGGATTTACCCGTTGGCCCATTTTTCATGTATAAGCGACCGAACCCAACTCATCAAAGGGTTTCGTGTTTTTGAATCCAACTAGGTAGAGTTTGTGGAATCCAATTCATGGATAGTGGGATCAAATGCTTGTAAGACTGTCAAAAGTTTTTTCCACAGTGGTCATTTGTTGAGGGAATTGAATGTTACCAGTATAGTCTTAATTCCTAAAGTCAGAATACCAGAAAGAGTTACATATATGGTACAGACCTATTAATTTGTGTAATTTTGCATACAAAGTCATCATAGCTAAAGTTTTGGTGAATAGATTGAAAGGCTTTTTACTAGAAATAATATCAAGAAATCAAGCGGCTTTTGTCTTAAAAAGAATGATTCAAGATAATGTTTTGGTGGTTCATGAAGTTTTCCATTATCTAAAGAGGAAGAAAAAAGAAAAAGGTGGGTAGATAGGATTAAAATAGACATGAATAAAGCTTATGATTGGGTTGAATGAGATTTTTTACAAGCCTTGATGACCAAATGGATTTTGATAGGAAATTGGTTGACTGGATTATGAAATGTGTTAGTACAGTTTGTTTTTCTATTATGATCAATGGGAAAGCCATAGATTTAGTTTCACCTGGTAGGGGGATTAGACAAGGAGATCCATTATCCCCGTATTTGTTTTACTAGTGGCTGATATATTATCAAATTGGTGTAGAAAGTTGTGATGAGCAAAAAGCTTATAGGTATCAAACTTGCTAGGACATGTCCCATACTATCACATCTTTTTTTCACTGATGATTGATGATCTTTCTTACAAGCCTCAGTAAGAAATTGTCAAGAATTGGTAAGGGTGCTGAATCTAAATTGCAAGGCTTTTGGGCAACAAGTGAACTTTGAGAAGTCTACTCTCTTGTTTAGTCCTAGTATTGATACAAGAGTGAAAGAGGATATTAGTTCCCTTTTTAATGTCCCTAAATATGTTAATCTTGGAAGATACTTAGGTCTTCCAACTGTTCGGGGCAAATCTAGAGTTGAAGCTTTATCCTTTATTGTTGAAAGAATTGGTGCAAAGATTAAAGGATGGAAGCAAAATTTTTTATCACCTGCAAGAAGGGAGGTCTTGATTTAAGTCAATAGCTACACGTATTGGCATATTCTATGATGATTTTTAAATTTTCAAAGAAGACTTGCAAGGAAATTAATTCAATTATGGCAAAATTTTGGTGGGGGCATATTTAAGATGAAGGCAAAGTTCACTAGCAAAGTTAGGATAAACTTATGGGGAGTAAGTTGAAGGGTGGCTTAGGTTTCAGAGATATTGAAGATTTTAATATAGCACTCTTAGCTAAACAATGTTGGAGGCTAATTCAAAATCTAGATGCTTATTGGGTGAGGATTTTGAAAGAAGTGTATTTCAAAGATAAATCTTTCTTGCAAAGAAAAAAAAGGTTGTCATCTATCATGATCATGGAGTAGCTTGCTTACTAGGAGAGATTTAATTAGAGATGAAGGAGCTTGGAAAGTTGGATGTGGATAGGAAATTGAGGTTTGGAAGGATAAATGGATACAAACAATGCCATATATGAGGTTGAGATCTCAAATTGTTATTGATCTTGGTGAACGTATTAAGCTTGTGAATCTAATTGGTGATGAAACCAATGAATGGAAATTAGATTGCATTGAACATAGTATTAATTCAACAGAAGCCTCAGCTATTAAATCAATTCCAATTCCTGTGCAGGTTGAAGATGAGAAAATGATATGGCCTTTATGGAAGAATGGAGAATACTTTGTCAAAATTGGATACTACATATGGCATTCAAAAGTGGTACAGATTATGAACAATAGACCTAGCTCATCGCATATTGCTAATGAGGAGGTATGGAAAATCTTACAGAATATTTTTACCGCTCCTAAGGTGGTGTCTTTTATTTGGAAAGTTCTTACTAATGGACTTCTTGTCATGAATTTGTGTAGAAGGAAGGTGTTGGATAGCCTTTTATGTCCTATTTGTTGGCGGCAAGAGGAGACTGTAGAACATTACTTGTTTTTGTGGGAATGGGTCAAAGGGGTCTAATTTGGAGGCCACCTTAACCATAAGGTAAATAGGCAATGTATTTCTACCTTTGATCAATGGTTGATTTCTGTATGTGGAAATAAAGCTTTGAAGGAGGATAAGAGAAAATTTTTGGCAACAATATGTGTATATTTTCATTGGATAATATGGAAAACTAGATGTGAATATCTTTATGAGAAGAAGAATATTTTTGTTGATATGGTGATTTCAAAAACTATAGCCTTGGCTTTGGAATGGATTGATAAGAATTATAG